CAACCCACAACCTGCAGAGAGCAAGCTTTACTCTCTACCTTGCAAAACTCAGATTCGTGCACTGTTCATCTCCTTCTCCGACTTGTTTTCTTTTTTCTGGCAGCTGCTGGAAGAACCCTGCCTTTCCTTTTCCTTTTTTCTCTAGTCAAAATTCCTCACAAAACACCTCATCCCTTACTTAAATACTTTCATTTCTCATAAACCCAACCCAATTTCTCTCTTAGTGCTAAACCCATGTTGGTTTTGCTCCCCATGCCTCATGCCACTCATGCTGAGCTGAAAACCATCTGTAAGCATGCCAAAACTATCTGCAAGTCACTATTATTCTCATTGGTGAAGATTATCCAAAATATCTCCTAAGGTTTCGCTGCCCTTTCGAGGTATTTTGGGGCTTAATTTTCGAACCTGAACAAAAAGGGGCAACCTCCTCAATCCGCCTTTTGCAGCAGCCCAGCCCGTTAGCTGCAGGCAGAAAAAGTCCCCTACAGTATTATTCTTATTTAGTAATATATGAGAATTATTTGTATAATACGTGAATTTTTTGTGTGTCTTACTAAAATTTTTGTAAAAAATGTGTATTAAGCAATAGAAATACGTGCGTACATGTACAATACGACTATTGTACGTTTGCTTTTTAAAGCATATAGCCGCTCGTCTTTACAGGGAGCTTTTTTTTTTATAATAAATTGTATAGCCGTAATTTTAAATTATATGTATATATATTTATTTTAAATCGTATAACCGCTTGGCTATATGCAATTTTTTAATTTTTTTAAAAATAGTATAGCCGCACGGCTATACGTTATATCCTCGCACTATGTGTAAATTTGGCATACATCCACCTTTACAGACTACCATTGTAGGTACCCCATCAAAATGGTAGATGTGAGGCAAGAATAGGAAGAGTTTTTGGAGACAAGTACCTCTACCTTGGCACTTACAGCAGTAAGTTATCTCTGATCTCCTATCTCCATAACTGATTATAACATTATGCAACATATTAAAAAACTAGCTGCAATATAAACTGTCATAAAAGAGAGTTGAAAACTATAATGAAGAAAATTTGCACTTACTGAGCAATGTGTATTTTTAATCTCATTTCAGGCACTCAAGAGGAAGCAGCTCGTGCCTATGACATTGCAGCAATTGAGTAGAGAGGGATCAATGCTGTGACTAACTTTGACTTGAGTTCTTACATAAGATGGCTAAAGCCTAGAGCAGACGATCCAATAGCCACTCAAGAATCAGAGAGAGTCGCAGAGCCTCAGAATATGCCATTCATGGCCAACAGCTACATCCCAACAGAGGAGTCTTTCTCACACACAAATCCTTTTGCCTCTGATTACTTGAACTTCCTCCCCCACCCCACACCCCCCGCCCGAAAGCAAGAAATCATCGGTAGCAGCATCCCTCTTAACACCGGTAGCAAGTCATCGTCTCCCACCGCACTTGGCCGCATCCTTCAATCATCAATATTCAGAGAGTTGGTTCAGAAGAACTCAAACTTCTCGGAGGATGAGAGTACTGACGGAGAAGAAACAAAGGACCAGCCACAGGTTGGTAGCGATGATGAGTTCGGTGGAATTTTCTATGATGGAATCGGCAACAACCCGTTTGCTTGCTCTTCCAATTCTGATGGAGATAAAAACCCATGGAGCAGCATTACAAGCACCATTTTGCTCAATCAACCAACAATAGCAAATGCCTCACTCTCTATTATTCTTTTCTTTGATGCATCATGGGAAACAGAACTTAGTCATATGGAAGAAATTTTGTTTCACTTTGTAAATAACAGAATTGGCGCGTAAAAAAAGTACATGGCATGATGAGATTGATGCTGCATATCAGTGTTAATTCAATCATGTCCAGCATTGCTTGCAAGTTGCATGTAAACAACTTAATAACATCGAGTTTATGGTTTTGGTAATGTGATGTTTACCAACTTTTTCGATTTTTCATAGTTTCATCTCACCTTAATATAGGCTAAGAGATTATTAACAAGACAAAGAAAAGTGTGAACGTTTCCAAAGTTGCGTATGAATGATTTCTGAATACATCATCATGCACTTTTTCGGTTCAGGTTCATCGTCCCAGTCCCAGATTCATTCAACTTAAATGCTGCAGTTTGCCTCCTTCACAGAGATGTACAATTGACAAGTAATACAGTGGTTCGTTCCCAATATGTAGCACAATTGTATTTTAGCCATTTGAACTCTGTTTTCTAGTTCATTTCTGTTCCTTTCATTTCATGTGGTCAGATTCTACATCAAACACTCACATTCAATTTTTTTAACCCCTGTGATATATTGTTGCCTAAGCTGAAAACCACAAACCAGCAGATCCCATCTTGGTTGAGAGCATCGCGAGGGACTTCCATATACACTCTGATACAGGTAAGTATTTCTCGAGACATGTCATTTGAGGGTATCAATAAATTAAAAAGGAAGTTCACTGGAAAAAATAGATAAATGAAAAAGAAAGCAAAACACGACTTCCACAAGACACTATCCTCAGTTGGATTTCCACATATTATTTATTCTCTTTGATCCGGAGAACCCAGTGTTCATACTAGTTTGTAAGACAATAGCAGCTGCAAGTTAAACCTGGAAAGAAAATATTTTCAGTTGGAACTTAGATGGTTCTCATGGAAGTCAGCCTAAAAGAACAATTACGAAATAACAACCTCATAAAAGTAGCACACCCTAGAAGTTCTGGGAACATCATACTATTAGTGAAAATTCTGTAAGTGATGAAATTACAGGTTGCAATTGGCAAATATTATGAACTTGATAAATAAATGGCCAAAGTACAAACTTAAAATGCAGTAAAGTTACGAGTAAACTGAATACTAGTTTCCTGACCTCTGAATCATGTCCCTTACCGAAATACATGTATTGCACTTCATTTCCTCTCAAGAACTTCAAAATTGCCTACTTTTATTTCTGAAGAGTTTTTGTTGTTTAGAAAGATTAAAGACTTTTAGGAAAGCCCCAATGCAATCAACCAGATCCCAGTCCATGGAACTGGTGGATCCTTGAAACATACAAGGGACGCCTCCACTTCTTGGGAGGCATGATAGACAAGAGAGTGGATGGAATACAGGTCGTGATCTGAGGACATCAAGTAAAACAAAGCCATCTCAAAATCTAAATGATAGAATGCAGAGACTGCTTTGTCCAGCTTGTACTTGAACAGGTTCCACCTTTGTATGAACTCAGCATGTCAACTACTTTTAAGGAGGTTTCTTTCCCCACCATGTGCCGCTATGGATTCAAGAACATCCTATTATAAAAATTATAGTTTTCCTCTTTCAGTAAAGCCAAATACAAAAACTTTTATATTATAAATAACATATAAACAAATTGGAAAGTTATTAAGATACAATGAATATGAAACTGAAGAAAAACAAATTGATAGGTAAGTAATAAAAGCAAAATAAATTATAAGTAAGAAGGTGAGCTTGGTACGATGAAGCACGTCAAAAACGTTGTCCTAAAGCCTTTGTAGCCTCCCTACGTGCAGGTACTTACGGCCTACAAAACTTCAAGATACGACCCTAATACACAAGCTCAAGATCCGCTATAAGCACATTCATAGACGGATATGTTTCCAAGTCACATAACCATTGCCCAAAAATACTAATAGAAAGTAGAAAATATATATAAAAGTAGAAAAAAGAGAGAATCAGATTGTGGTGGTGACTGTGGTATGTGATATTCTAATGGTATATCAAATGTGAAGGAGGAGTAGCCTTTTATTGGCATCCAAGAACATATAACCTTCACCACATTAAACTAGAAAATTAAGGCATTCAATATAGAAATAGGGATATGATTTCCCCACTTCCATTTTCTCCACTTACACTCTCTTTTGCTTTTTAATACTTTTTAATCAATTTTGTTCATTCTCTTTCCTATTCTACCCTTACCCTCCATTAATTTCTTTTTACTTCACTTTCATATTAGTTCTTTTTCTTTATACTTAATTTTCAAACTTGCACTCCATTTTCAGTATTTTTTTTCCTTTAATTGAGTAAGAAATTAAGTTTCCTTTAATACTGAAAATGGAGTAAGTTAGACAATTAAGTATAAAGAAAAAGAAATAATATAAAAGTGAAGTAAAAAAGAAATTAATATAGAGTAAGGGTAGAATAGGAAAGAGAAGAAACAAAATTGATTAAAAAATATTAAAAAGCAAAAGGGAGTGTAAGTGGAGAAAAATATTGTTATGCTGTAATTGAGTGATGTCAAAAGAACATTTCTACGAGCATCATCCTTCTGCACAAATGACAATGATGAAACCTCAAAGAACGGCCCAAACGGAGTCTGTCCAACCAATGGCGGACCCAGGATTTTTTACAAGGGTGGGCTAAATTTTTTTTTGGACACCTGTGTGATTCGGACTACAGTCAGGTCCTTCACCCACAACCTCAAGATGATCAAAAAAACCTATTCAACATCAACTCATAACATCTTCACTACATAAAACCACCATCAATGTGTAGACAGAGAAAAGCATGAGAAAAGAAGAAGAGAGAAATAGAGACTTAATAAAACAAAAGAGAAACAAATAGAGAAAGACAAAAGGAAAGAAAGAGAAAGAAGAAAAATGGCGGAGAGAAAGAAGAAGAACAAGAAAAGAGAGAGAAGAAAGAAAAAGAAAAGAGAAAGGAGAGAGAAAAGAAAGAAGAAATCGGGCGAAATGATTAAAGAAGAAAAAGAAAACGGAGAGAGATAGCGAGAAATTTTAGGCTGAAATTTGATTTATCTAAATTTGGCTTACAAATTAAGCCTACTCTCAAAAATAGGATTGGACTACAAATGGAAACATTTAAATTTTTATGAATTTGATTTCTAATTGTCATTACATATTTATTGATGGTGACTTTTAGTTATAAAAAAATTGTTTATGACATTAAGTTATGGCAAATTTTTAGTGATAGTATTTTTGTATTAGATTATGTGAGACCCCAATTTAAGTTTTGCACAGAGCCCTCAAAATCTCAAGGATGGCCCTGCAAGAGGCCTGTGATTTACTTTTGCTTCAGTTTGCTTCTTAGGAGCTTATTGATCGCTGCATCAGTGGTTGGTGTTGTGTTCATGTTAACTAGCAAGCAATCTGAGGACTGGTACTACGAAAAAGGGAATTACTATGCAACCATTTCCTTCAAATTCACTCAATCACCCGCCTTCATGCACCTACCCTTAATTATGTACGTTCTTCTCAATTTCTTTTTTCAGATTCTATTTTTTGGCTAGGCAAAGGACGCTGCTCTGAGGCCGTGAGACCTATTACAAAATTTTATTTTGGGTTTTTATTTATTTATTTATTATTTTTAATTTAAATATAATTTTGTTTTTAATTTGGCAAGATAGGAGCTTCAGCTTGCATTAGGCCAAATGGGCATTCAAATAAACAAAAATGGTAGCCCAGATACAATGTCAGCTCAAACCAAATAGAAGGCCCAATCAAAACTTCGTTTTTTCCTTCTCTAGTTCAAAATTTTGTTTTGTTTGGTCAACAAATTATTCATATTAGCTCGTCCGACTACAACTTGCTAAATTAAGAGCTAGTAAAATTATTTTTTAGTCCTTTTAGTAAAAAAATTAACTTAAACATAAATCGCATAATTATCTGACTCTCTACATTTAAAGATTGTGCAATAAAATAATTGTTCATTGAAGAATACACGGAGTTCCACATCGAAAACTTAACATAAAAGGTCTCATATAATAAATGGCTCAACTCCTAATAAAATCCCATCAAAAACTTGCACAATCCCTAAATGTATGATCGAATCCAGATATGCTGTAATCCAATTGAATAAACTTTTTTCCCATAATAAATTATTTCTATGCTTAAGCCTGTCAAACGTTGGGCTCGAAGAAAACAAACAAGCAACCCATTTCTCTTTGGCAAGAAATGGTTGTTGACCAAAATGAATCGAAAAGTGAACTTCATAGGCAACAAATTTTACATCCTTATCTAGGAAAATATAAAATTCAAGCAATTGAACTTTTTTTTTTTTTAGTAAACAAGATTTTGTTTAGTGAGAGGATTTGATATAGTGACAACGATATATTTTGTTATTAATTTATTTAATAGCTTAAATTAACTTGTTCAAGGACGAAGTCAGAAATTATTTTCTAGAAAGGCTAGGGATTTGAATACAAATGTATGGAATTGGAACATCATGTTCATTATATATACATTCAAATAAGTTTAATTTGGTTTCAAAACCCTAATTTGAATCTAATAAAACCCTGCATATACTATGTTGCAGCATTATCTGTTGCAGGGGTTTATGCTACCATTACTACGTTTACATCATTTTTAGACATCTTAGCTCCAGCTTCCTCAGCAATCTTGGTCCCTTTTGCGCTTTTTGATGTGGTTAGCTTTCTCTCTCTGACACTCCTTCTGTATAATTTTCTAATATAAAAATGGATATGTTCGGAGACTGAATTTGAATCAAACATTTAATCAATAGTCAACTTAACCGATCCATATTAACAGTTTGACAATGCATTCCGTATACGTTGTGCGTGACAGTTGATATTAGGGATCATAGCCTCAGCCACAGGCACTGCTGGAAGTGTTGCATATATCTTGCTAAGGGGCAACGATGACTTTAGCTGGTCGGATTTCTACTATGCTTATAGCAGTTTCTGTCGACATCTTTGGAGTCTCCTTCGGGGTCTCCATATTTGCCTCCATTTTGCTCATCTTGCTTCTCTGGACCTCCATCATTACCCTTTACAAAACGATCTCCAAACAGACCTATTCTCGTGATGTTAGAGCATTGGCAGCAAGGGGCCCAAGGGGAAGGTTGGGGGGAGGGGCAAACCCAAAATGTGGTTTTCAGCAACAAGAAGCTGCTAGGGCAAGTAGTGGGGCCCACATACCTGGGCTAGCCCAAGCGCCAGCCCGCAGGCTGTGCTGACGTCATAGCACTGACATCACGATGACGTCAGCGCTGGGATTTTTTTAAAGCTAGCGCGTGTAATGCACGCGCCAACTTTAAAAAAAAAATTGACGCGCCACTACAGTAACCACCCAACGGCTCTCTTCCACGTGTCTTATGCTGGGCCATTCGATCAGCTTTTTAAACATATCCAACGGCAGCCATTTTTTTGCGAATAAAAAAATTGAAAAAGCAACCCCCAACGACTCTATGCCACGTGGAAGCTCCTGGGCTCTCCGATCATTTTTTTCCATCAATCCAAAGGCAGACAATTTTTTGCCCAATAAAAATATGAAAAAAAATATGAAAAAATTTAAAAAAATACTAAAAAAATACTAAATTTTTTTTTCTATAAATACCAACCAATACTCTTCACTTTTAACACCAACTCCTCATACATTTTCTTCTCCTTCTACTATTTTTCACTTTCTACTCAATTTTTTTTAACTTTCAAGTTGTTTTTTTCTCTCTTTCAAGTTGTTTTTTTCTCTATCATATTATGGGTTCTTCTAGTGAAACCGGAGAAGGGGCATGGAGCATGACGGAAGATATTAGCTTGTGTGAGGCTTGGCTCCAAATTAGTCATTGTCCCGTAATGGGCAATGAGATCAAATTCTGTCATATGCGGAAAAAAATTCATAAGGAATTTTGTGAAAGGTAATTAGTTCGACCCGTACGGATTAGACATTATCTAGTAGGTGGAAAATTCTTAATAAAGAGCTGGGAAAATGGAGAGATGTCTTGACAAAAGCGATGAACAACCATAGAAGCGGGGAAAACCTTAGCAGTGAGGTAAATTATTTGTAATTTTTTGTTTTATTAATTTCTATGTCATATTAAATTTTATTTAAATGTTTCTTGCAATTTATATATTATGTTATATATATAGATTATGCAAGCACAAATGTTTTTTGGTGCTACTGGGTAAGGGAAAAAAAGTTTCAACTATACCTTATGTTGGGAGGTGATGAAGAATTGTAAGAGATTCCAAATTATTCCAACGGGTCCAACGATAGTGTTGAACGAGATGTCACTCCATGAGACATCGACATCGGATTCACCTATGGATTCCCCGATGAGTCAAGACTCACCTATCGAAAAAGAGCCGAGGCCTATTGGGAGGAAGGCGGCGAAGGCGAAGAGAGGGAGTAATTCTACCAAGAATACATCTAAATATTTGGAGGAGCTTTCAAAGATGCAAGTCATGAGAATTGAAATGGATATGAAACAACAAGAGCACGATAGGGAAATGGAAGTAGAATATGCAAAAGAAAGGGAGTATGTACGCCAAGGAAAGATTGAAAAAAATGATTGGGAAACCATGGCTATAGATACAACCCATATGTCCCCCAAAACAAAACAATTTTGGAAGTTAGAACGAAGGGATGTTATGAGACGAAGACTTTTTCGTGACGATGGACCTAGCAACACGGATTGGTTAAATGATCAAAACCATTAAATTAGTTTGATTGCCTTTCATTTCATTGTACCATTAAGTTAGTTTGCTTGCCTGTCATTTCATTGTATTTTTTGTTTTGTTTAAAAAACTAGTTGTAATTCATGTATTTTATTTTATGAGTTGTATTCATTTTCTTTTAGTGAATGAAGAAAATATTCAACAACATTCCTTTTTATTCAAAACATTCCATACATAAAAAGCAAACCACAATCAAAGCATAAAAAATAAACAAACCACAACCAAAGCATAAAAAATAAACAAACCACAACTAAAGCATAAAAAAAAAACAAAGCATAACTAAAAATACAACATAAACATAATACATTAAAAAAAACATCTTCACTTTACTTTATTGTCCTTCATTGCCTTTCACCGCCTACAAATGCTCCATCAAGTCCATTTGACGGTGTTCATGAATATATGACAATTGCATCTCCGTGTAGCGCTCAATAATCCGATGCATGAAACTACCATCTCTAACTAACGGATCATGCTGCACTAGTTCTCCATTTGCACCCATAGGTTTTTCATAAATTCGTGTTAAGGCCGTGTTCATGGGATCTGGTTCATACACTTCATCAGCATCGTAATCATACTCATCTTCCACAATCATGTTGTGGAGGATGATACAAGTCATCATTATACTCCTAAGCACCTCCTCATCAAATAGACGTGCCGCTCCCCTGATAATTGCCCACCGGGCTTGAAGGATACCAAAGCACCTCTCCACATCTTTT